TTTGTTCCTTAAGGAACACTGTAGGTTATGAGTACACCATGTTTTTGTTGTGTGCTTAACGTTCGTTTGATGAGTATTTTAAACTCTTTGAACTTAACTAATGATTGCTTTCTCTGCTTCTCAGAGAACTAATGACACCCAGACCTCCTCCTCAACCTATCGACCGTGATGTGTCCGACAACACAAGACTGTTGGAATCAGTGATAGAAGCACTCCAACAACAGAACGCTGCCGTGGTGCAGCAGAACACTACCGCTTTGCTGAGTCTGGAAGTCGCACGTGCCAACTCTGAAGCGACTCAAAGGCAATTGATGGAGATTATAGCAACCACTAGGAACAGCGGGAACGTCCACTTCTTCTGGAAATCATCAGATCGAATGGTGTTTGGAGAATTTTCTACAACATCACCCAGCCAAATTCAATGGGAAGTGCCTTCCTGATGAGGCAGATCCGTGGCTTCGTGATATGGAGCGGATCTACAATGCCAAGAGGTGTCCGGACGACAATCGATTGGCATTCACAGAGTATCTACTAACCGGAGAGGCTAGTCATTGGTGGACTAGTATGAAAATGATCTTAGCGGACGCTCAGAGTCCCATGATGTGGGAAGTCTTTGGGAGCAAGTTCTATGAGGAGTATTTCCCTGATAGCGTCCGTTTTGCTAAGGAAGTGGAATTTCTCCAGTTGGTGCAAGGCGGGATGTTCGTATCAGAGTATACGAGCAAGTTCAAACACTTGGTTCGTTTCAACACCATGGCTACGAGCGAGGAGTGGCAGTGCAGGAAGTTTGAGAATGGGCTGATAAGTGATTTGAAGTTGTTGATTTCCAGCTTGTGCATAAAGTCTTTTCCTGCCATGGTTCAGAGAGCTAAAGTATTGGAGAAGAACGTGGCAGAGGTGGAACAACAGAAGAAACAGCTGCAACAGGCATCTAGAGGGCCAATATCTTCCAGAAACAATGTGAATTCGAGAAGGGCACCTTATGCTCGTCTAGCCTTACCATCTACTTCTGGTGGGTCTCAGTCTCAATCGTTAGTGGCTGCCAGTAGGTCTGGACAACAAGGGACCGTGACTTGCTTTCAGTGTGAAGGACCCCACTACCGTTCATCGTGTTCTCAGTTGGCGGGAGGAAAATATGGCACTCGCTGTAGAAGGAATGGTCATCTGGAGAGTGAGTGTAACATGGGAGGACGAGCGGTCATGAGACCACCAAATGTTGGAAGAGTTCAACAAGGGAGAGGTGGTCGAGCACAAGCAGTTGGGCGAGTTTATGCTATAACGGGCGCGAAAGCAGCAAGCTCAGGTACCCTTATCACCAGCACTTGCTTGTTGTATGGAATATCTTGTTGTGTGTTGTATGATTCGGGGGCAACACACTCCTTCATCTCGAAGGCGTGCGTTGATGAACTGGGGTTAGCTGAGAGCGAGATGCAGTTTGACTTGGTGGTGTCAACCCCAGCGGCTGATGAGGTTAGGACGTCTACAGTTTGTGTTAGATGTCCTATTGAGGTTGAGGGACGTAGATATAAGGTGAACCTCATTTGCTTACCTCTTCAAGGTTTGGAAGTGATTCTAGGAATGGATTGGTTGGCTGTCAATCGCATTCTTATAGATTGTGGTGAGAAGAAGTTAGTGTTTCCGAGTGAAGAAGAAGAAGAGTGTCCTGTGACGCTCGGTCAGCTAAAGGAAGACATCATGGAGGGCGCTAGTTGTTTTCTGATCATGACGCATTCAGATGAAGAGTTTGAAGACTCAAGTCATGGACGATCGTCCAGTAATAAACTGAGTGGAGGACGATCGATCGTAGATGAATTCCCAGACGTATTTCTGGATGAAGTACCTGGACTACCTCCTCCACGCGAGGTAGAATTTACAATCGACTTGGTGTCGACAGCAGGGCCCATCTCTATTGCACCATATCGAATGTCACCAGCAGAGTTAATAGAACTCAAGAAGCAGATTAAAGAGTTGATGGACAAGCAGTTCATCAGACCAAGCGCATCACCTTGGGGAGCGCCTGTTCTCTTAGTGAAGAAGAAGGATGGCAGCTTTCGGCTTTGTGTTGACTACAGACAGTTAAACAAGCTGACCATCAAAAACAAGTATCTCCTGCCTCGGATTGACGATCTGCTGGACCAACTACACGGTGCTACCGTATTCTCGAAGATTGATTTGAGATCCGGTTATCACCAAATTCGGGTTAAGGAAGAGGACGTCCACAAGACTGCTTTCAGGTCTCGTTACGGACACTATGAGTATGTAGTGATGCCATTCGGTGTAACGAACGCACCAGCGTTATTCATGGATTACATGAATCGTATCTTTAGGCCGTACTTGCACAAGTTTGTGGTCGTCTTCATTGACGATATCCTCATCTACTCCAAGAACTGTGAAGAGCATGAAGAACACTTGAGGATAGTGCTGGACGTTTTAAGAGAAAAAGAGTTGTACGCCAAGTTATCCAAGTGTGAGTTTTGGATGAAGGACTGATAACGGTTGAAAAACCGTTATTTTTATGCTTAAATTTGATACCAAAAGCAACCTTTAAGACTTAGAAACTAGCTTGAACTCATATTTT